CCCCACCTCTGCGACCGCAACAGCACCGCTGACTGTCATCTCGAACAGCTCAGGGCCTCCCAGCGTCTCTGTCGAAGTCCTCGATTCACTAAAGTCCAGCCCAGAGGTATGGAATATCAATTTCCTAATTCTCCCTCCTAATCTACTTCCGAATCGTCCACAAACCACCACATACAATGCAGATCATCCGCTAACCAACACAACATCACAGACCGACGCCTCCCGCGCCAGACTGATCGAGCAGCATGTCCAGGCGCGCGTGGCCGAAGAGCTCAAGAAGCTCCAGAAAAAGGAATCCGAGGCTCTCAAGGCTGCTCACGAGAAGATTTCGTCTTCGGAACACAACGACGAGAACAAGCTCAGCAGCTTCTCGCTCGGAAAGGAGGTTGACGAGTTGCGGCGCAAGCTGGAAGAGAGGAAAAAGGTCCGCGAGCTACCAGAGAGCGTGGAGACCGCCCGCGGCGCAGTGATTCGATGCCTGAGGGAACATGACCGCCGGCCGCTGGATTGCTGGCAGGAGGTGGAGGACTTCAAGGCCGAGGTGAAGAAGTTGGAGAAGAGTTGGGTCGACAAGATCACGTCATAAAACAACGGGTGCTGGACCTTTTTTTGTCGCTTGTCCTTGGGAACTGAATTAGCATGCTCTGCTAGATGGGGGCAAGGGGATTTGGACACTGCTTGAGGCACCGACAGCCGCAGGATGGGGTTACGAGATGGAAAAGCAAGCAAAAGCTACAAGGCTAGCCGTGTACATTACTGCATTGGAGAAGCGGTATAGAGAATAAACAAAGTACAATCCAGTTTGGTTGTCACTTGGATGGTGCCATGTTGAAGTCATCCTGCAACACTGTATGATGGACTTGCACCGACCTGGGCGGCCACAATCTCTGACGAGACGTCTTTTGGCCTTGCAGTCCGGGATTAGCATAGTACCAAGATTCGGTGGTATCATGGGTGGCAAAGTTGCACGTACCTTGGATGCCAAAACTCACCGATACGTGCGCACCCATAACAGTTCCCCGTTGCAAGCCACACCATCACCGACCACAAGCCAAATATATACTTATATATATATATATGCACTCGAGTTATGAGAGCCCATCTACTCTACCCTCCGAACTTTTTTGTCCCAGAACGCCTACGCTAAACCAAAGTCTAATGCAACCCCTTCATACACTTCGTCGACACTCTCCCTCGCGCCATTCTCCTCAGCTACAACCTCCGCCGCCATAGCCTTCCTCCGCAGCCCTTCGGCTCGCATCCTCTCCTTCCTCGCCGCAGGATCCTCCCACCGACGCCCGTCAGAGCCCATCCTGGCCAGATTCTCCTTGAACGCGCCGCGGAACCTCTCGATGCGCTTCGTATTCTCGGAGAACCGCTCGTTCCCAATATCCATCAACGCCCGCAGATACGAGCCGGACACGAGCGCGTACCGCTTCCCCTCAAACTCATGCCCGACCAGAGATTCAAACCCAAGCCCCATGGACCGAACAGCCACTATCGGCGCGGCGCTTTGCGAATCCGCCGTCAGATTCACCGCGCCTGATTCCCTAAAGCCAGCCTGCAGCGCAGATCGCAGGAGAAGCTGCGCGTGGGCAAGCGAAGCCGTAAGAACATGGAGGATCTATATTTTTTTAACACAAGTCACGTAAGCTATCATTATTCGCTGGCAACCGCAAAAGGAAAAAAAAAAAAAAAGCGCAGGCATCTTTCGCTCACCATGGGTTCAAACTTGAAGTGAATCAACCTCCCTGTGCGCTGGGCCTCTCCGTCCTCAAACTCCAGGCTCTGCAGCCAGTCTTGGCCCTTGACCGGATCGTGCGAGACATACAGCCACGTTCCGCCGGCGCCCTTGCCCCCGACGCCGGCTACCTGTGCCGGGGGCTGCTCATCTGCGTCTGCGTCTGCGCATGGTGTCGCCTTTCTGCCTTGTAGGAAGACGCTGACTCTGCCTGCGCAGCTGCTGGTCGTTACGAAGCCGTCTGCACTGTTGATCTCGTCGATGAGGTGGCGGATGCCCCTGTCGACGCTTCCCTTGGGCGACAGGTCCGTGTATTCGGCTTCCGGCACGGCGAGTTGGTCCAGGATCTTGGTCTTTTTCTCGGCAAAGGCTTGTGACGGCCCGGGGAGATGCGGCCGTGGCTGCATTTGTGAAAAGTGCTGCCTTGTCTCTGCTTTTTGTCTGTATAAGATGGCACTCGGGCACGTTGTTGTCCATCAGACGCAGGACCAACTGAGGCGACACGCGGTATACTCCATGCAATACTAACAATCACATATATAACGCGTAGTGAGTCGTTAAAATAAATAAGGTTCTGCTAGCCAGATATTCGCAGGGGTGGTAGGCTCACGCTGCCAAGTCCTACCCGTGGTGTTTTTTTTGCTAGCCGTCGCCCACGTCTCACACACCAATCAGATCGCTGCGCGGGGTAGCAGCCAAGTTTTAACTACATGACGCGGCGGCTTCAATTTCCCGACGACGGACAACAAACGCCCACGGTGACATGTACGGCTCATGAGACGTATTTTTTTTTTTTTTTACGTTTTTCTGTT